CATACGATTTTTCTACAATTTATGGTGATTTTTTCAAAACTGACTATCATTTCAAACAACAATCCGGACCAGTCTGTGATTTTGGACTTATTCACCCAAGTTGGAGGTCGTTAAAAATCGTGATAAAAATTATGAGTAAACTAGACACATGTTTTGAACTTTCAGAATTTACGGATCTAGTTTTCGACTTTGTATGATTTTTCTATGATTTTTCCAAAACAGGGCAGAATGGCTAAAGTTAGCCAACAGCATGTAAATATCATAACAGTTTGTATTATGTTGAGCAAAGTGTATAATCATAAGTTATAATTATTGAATGTGTTTCCTTGTTAGTTTGTCATCATGAACTGAAACTAAGTAATTCATAATAAATATTAATCATTCATTTTAGAACACGTATATTAAACTATAAAGGTATAGTTTGATAAATTCATAACACTAATACATTTTCATAAAAGAGTTCATACATATTACATACATTTTAGATAAACTATAATAGGTATAGTTTATGATACATCACTCAACACACTCGTACAAAAAGAGTACATTCATACAAGAAAGATTTATATTCACACACATTTCACGTAAACTTGTTAACCTATATTGTGAGACTCTCTCTCTCCCCGTACGTCCGAGTGCGGGATGTAATTCCTGGTAGTTATAATCAGAATCTCCTTGAGGGAGAACGTGATAATTGTATATAGATCTATATTGGGTTTGACACCCCACACCTTGCTGCTAACTACAGTGGGACCTGCAGGTCTACGGGTGACAAATGTCATTTCTTTTTCGCGACGCCTGAGAAACGTTGTGGCAGGTTCACATAGTCACAGTATGATTATAACGACTCACCTAGGGAGATAACAATTCATAAAGTTTAAGGGATTTCATAAAACCTAAGTAGGGTTTAGGTTGATTTAAAATTTACTTTCCATATCATTTCAAACTCACGACATTTCTACTAAGTAAGGATGATTTCTTATACATTTTGGTCTTTGGTTATAAGGCTACATTATACGGATTTTAAGGAAAATATCGGATTTTTCTGAAACAAACGCGACATTTACATGTGAAAGACTTCTACCTAGTTTTATAATAAAAGCTTATGAACTCACCAACCTTTGTGTTGACACTTTTCAAACAACTTGTATTCTCAGGAAATCACTAAACAGGTAATCAAGTGCTTTTGAGGATGGGACGTTAAGGCATCAAACTTTTCATATTTTGTCAACATATTATAATTGATTTTGAAACATGTAATTCATACAAGTGATGTAACTTTTTCAATTATATATATGTTGGTTGTGTTTGCTTAAATTACTATTGAAATTGTGGTTATGATACTATACATGAAGTCCTCCACCCCCGGATGTTTCCGCCATCCTTGGTTTGGGGGTGTGACATTATCCAAGTGGGAGACTGTTGGATATAGTGTCTAAGTCCATAACTATATTTGGTATGTAATTGACCCGACCCGGCATGGTCCATTTGGGTTGCACTTCACCCGAACAATTTATGGATAACATTTGAGAATAGTACAAGTTATGATTTATTAATATATTATAAGTTCTAATATATTAATATAAGATCATATTATTTGATTAGTATTGATCTATAATTAATCTAGGATTAATTTAGAGATCAAAGATATTACTAATTAAATATGGGCTTCTATAGTTATATAGTGTGGGCTAATGCTTATTTGGAATGAGCTAGGCTCGCATGGAAAAGTCCATGGATACTCCATGGAGCTTTAACCCATGGATCTCATGGAAATGAAGAGACATGGGTATTAGGGTTTATATGGATGTAACCCTAATCCACCACACTATATAAATGAGGCTTTGGTTCTTGAAATCATACTAGTTGACACTTGTAGAGGTGAGGGCCGATTTCAAGAATAGTAGTGAGTATTCTCTCAAAGTTCCAAGTTTGTGGTGATTTGTGATTTCCATTTGAGGCATTCACACTATTGGTGCTAGGCTCTAAAACTCCAAGCAATCAACTACTACTACAAGGTAAGTATTTCTACTAGCTTTATTTGATTCATGTTCCCCATGCCATACTAGTTAGGATATGAACCTTGGAAAAATAATTATTTGCATGTATATTAGACAAACATAGATCCAAGGTTTATTAGGGTTGCATGTACACTTAGGAAGTGTTAGAATGCTCAAAACCCATCAACAACTACGTTCTTCAAATTCAACATTTATAAAGAATTGAACCACTCCAAATGCTCACAACCGAGTCCCAAGTAAAGTAAGGTAAGTCTAGCCATTTGAGGATCGCATTCCAAGTTCCCTTCACTACTTCACATTGTGTGAAAAGACGATATAGGTTATTTCAGAGGAAGTACACAATGGGCATAAAGTAAAAGGAATATTCATTCCCTTTCTAATAAGTTTACTCTACTTGGAAGTCTATTTATCGTGATTTTCCAAACTAGAGTGTTAACTTTTATAGGCATAAACTTAGACTACCTCAGAGAAGTATTTATACTATCAAAAAATAATTCATCAGTGTTCTTTCTTGTGTTATTCACCACAAACTCTATGGCTTCGTTCACATCCTAAATACATCTATCACTAGCATCCATTTGGGGTGACATTAGGAATAATGACCATCAAACCATGAAACTGCTCCATTTCCGCCCCTCCCTAACTTCTCAGCGCCAATGCAAGACCCCAAGCATTATTCATATATTTATCTTTGACTACACAACCATGATCATTCTCCAAAACAATATAATCTATTGAATCGATCTTAAAAGGCATGCTACATCATCCTAAAAATATTAAAAACTGAATTTACCCACAACCAACCCTAAAATAATTAAAAAAAACCACAAATTTGTGTTTTAAGCATAATAGCTTGAAGTCCAAAATATATGGCATGAAAATATATGGCATGACTGTGTCACTTATTGGCCACCCAACATATTGAGGAATTTGCAAAAGCTCTCACGGAGGATGAATGTCAAAAACTCAACTTAAAACAAATATACAACTTTTTATATGTTGGGAGTTTGACGCCTATTTTTGTATCGTCAAAGAAAATGACAAAGGTGGTTTCCCACTCGACGTCACATAATTTTAATGTTCGATCCCCTAGTTATTAGTTTCAAAAATTTTAATTTACTTTATATATAATTTGTTATTTTTTAATTATATAATAGTGCATTCCCTTTATTTATGTTTTTTACGTTTATTTATAACTTAATTAGAGAAATTTCTATTAGTTGTAATTTCCTAAAATTTGACAATAGTTGCCAAAATTATCTTCCCATTTATAAAAAGGTTTATAAGCCTTTTTCATTATCTTGAAAATTAATAAAATTTTCTCTTTTAAATTTCTTGAACAATTAGTGCTTGTACTTTACGTTATGTGTCATATATACCAATGATAACTCATACCACCAGTCCTTTACTATGTTCACATTCCAAAATGATAAGTGATGCATATAAGGGGTGGACCTAGTATAGAGCACGATGTAGTACAAGCTACCCATTCAATTTCCAATTGTAGTGTATTTTTTTGAGAAAAATTTCGGTGTAGTTTAAATTTTGCTTAGGCATACAGGAGTACAAAAACATCAGGCTATTCATAAGCTACTAGGGATCGATTCGATAAAATCTCAGTTCGAGATTGATTTTAAACGAGCTCGGGCTTAATATTAGACTTGTTTATTAAACGAGCTCGAGCTCGAGCATGTGTTACCAAGCTCATTTAGGCTCTCGCAAACCTAAACGAGCCTACATATAATATAGACAAAATTATATAAATGGTCCACGTGGTTAACCCAAAATCACAACTTACTAGAAAAATAGCTTTTTACGACGCGCAATTAATGACACACACTGATAGAGGACGCGCATTTGAGCGTGCCCAAAAAGTTAATGTCAGTTTTCCAAAATTTGAAGGATAGAGGACACGTATTTTCGCGTGCCTTAAAATTAGTGTCCAACAAAAAAAAATTAAAAACACGAAGGGCACTTGTTTAAAGACGGGCGTCGTGTAGAGATGTCGCTTTATATTTTTAATGAAACGCGTGTTCCCTTCTTTTGCAGCTGGGGGGAAACGAAAATCCAAAAAGTTTGAAAGGCCGCTATGTTATCCTCTACCTTATTACCATCGTTCTTTTCTATATCTCAATCTCCCACACTCTAATACCCCAAAAAACCCTAATATCATCGCCAATCCTCTTTTCTCCTACAATAAAATCGCAATATCAGCAAAACTCCAATCTTCCACAAGAAAATGTCTCCGACCAATTTCTTAACCCACTCTCTGTCCTCACACTACTTCTCTTAGTAAATATGAAAAAACCCTTAATTGGAGAACCACGTACCATTTCTCCTTTTTCCCGCACCAGTCGGCATAAATTGAGGATTCTCGCACCTAGCAGTATATATTCATGCCTAGCAGTCAATATTCACGCCTAGCTGAGGATTCTCCTTTCTCTCACACGGTAAAATTGTTCAATTTGGGAAATTGTTACGTGGCTTATCTTTTGTTTTTCTTTCTCTCACCATTTTCACTAAGTGACCACCGTCGGATAATCAGCAACCATCTCTTCTCTCTTCAACACTTTCAGTTATTCTAGATATTGTCATTGTTTCACCTTTGAACATGTTCTTATCTTTTTAATTTTAATAGAGGAGGGCGGTGGTGGTTCCTACACTGAGACAAGGTAACTTTTCTTGCGAAGCTATTTTTCGTTATCTGATTTTTGTTCTTTCTTTTCGGGATTTTGACTGGTTTAAAACCATACATGGAATTTTTGATGGCAAGATTTTCATTTTGTTACTGCACAGAAGGTGTTCGACAAAATGCCACAGTGAAGATATAGAGCTAAGCTGATTCTTCTACGGAAGTCTATTGCCCTCAATCAGGTAACTTTTTTTTTGACTCACAAGCAATCTGTATCTTATCAAATTAAAAAGTTGGATGAATCATGGTGGAATCTGTATGACAGTTTATGGGTTGTGATTAGTGAAATGCATGGGAAAGGGCCAACCTGTGAATCACAACGAAGAGCATCATCAGAAGGGCTAGGGCTTCTAGCTCGCCTTGGAAATGATATGTTTACTGCCAGATTGGTAAAATTTTGATATTGTTATTTATTTCATTTTAGAATGTGTTAAAAATCTCATGATCCATAATTTGTTTTGACTAGACTCGATCACTGCTTAATGATGTAACTGGCGCACCAGAGCATTATGTTGGATCAATTGCTCTAGCTCTTGGTTGCATCCAACGCAGGTATTTTTCTTTTTATGTTGTATCTTTTTTAGTGAAGTTACTTGTTTTCTCATAATTTATTTATTTTATTTTCTGAAAGCAAAAGATTTATCATTCTCATGTTGTACGCAGCGCAGGAGGAATGGCATTATTAAGTTTAGTTCCATCCACTGTGCATTCTATCTCTTCACTAGCTAAGAGTTCAATAGCTAACTTACAAGTATGGGCTTTGTCTGGAGAGAATGGATAGGTTGTGCTTCAGCAAGGAGTAGGTCGCCTCATCAATGAAATAGTTGCTGTTCTTGGTCCTGAACTTCACCCTGGATGTATATTCTTTTCACGCTGCAAGGTTTGTTAATTCAATTATATAATTCATAAAATATATTTAATTTCCTGTTGTTGTTATGTGCACTTACTTAATTGTTTGTTTTCTACAGTATGTCATTGCAGAGATAAGCACACAGCAAGAAACAACAACACTTCTTGAGTAAGCAACCTTATAAGTCCTTTATTCCAGAGATAAGCACACAGCAAGCTGTTACAGTTCATACTCATGTCAAAGTTATCCTGTCAACTCTTTCATCAAGATAGGTAAGTCTTGCTGGTGACTCTTAAAATACTCATGTCAACTCTTTAATATAAAATTGTTATTTTTTGTTTCTGAAACAATTTCTTCTTTGCAACAACCAACTTTGAGACATCTTAAAGTTATTCTGTGATTTTCAGGTGAAATTTTACTCATTACTTTACTGTGTTACCCATAATACCAATATATTAACTTTACTTTGTTTTATATTTATGGAACCAATATATTAACTGGTGCTGATCTTCGTAGATTAAGCATGGATGCTGCAACAGAGGTGCTTATTAAATTCAATGTTCCAGAAGAACATATTGCAAAACTGCCAAGGTGGGTTAAAGGGTAGCTTTTATTTGATAAAATGATTTAGTTTAAGTGTTTCTTATTTCTTGTTTGTTGGTATCGCCTCTGTATGATTTGGGCATAATGTGTTTTTTTGTTTTTTTAGCTTTTGCTATAATTTGCTTATATTATAATAATCTGATTTGGTTATAATCTGAAGAACATAATGTTTTTTTTTTTAATTTTCTTTTTCAATCTGATTTACTTGGTATTGCATCCTAATCATATATGACGTTCAAGAATATTTGACAAATCTAGTTCAATTCAAGGTTGGAAAAGTTAACAGCCAATTAACTTGGAATGAATTTTTTAGATGAAGATGTTCGGAAGTATATCAATGAATGATTATCATTTACCTTTTGTTGTTTAAAGTTAAACAAACTTACAGTGAAACTATATCAAGCATCTAAGCCCCATATTTTGCAATTGTTCTTTTTCTATGGTTGTTGCACTTTTTCTCAATACATCATCTTTATTCATTGTAGTCCAATTTCATGTTCATCTTCACTGTCAATGGATGGAGGTATGTCTGCACCCAAGCCGAGCCCTAAATTGATTAGCATTGCTATTCGTTCAAATGATCCGGTTACCTGATGATATGTTCCCTTACCGTGTCCCTGTAACAACAACAAAATCCCAGAAAAACCCACTCCCAACAGCTCACACTGAATGCAAAGTCAACATTGACCAGCCTGATCCAAATCATGAAAAAGCATGTACTATACCTGATAAAGAGATTAAGGAACATGTTGAGAAAGAAAAAGACACATCAGAAGACACAAAACAAAGAGAACATGATCAAGATGATAAATATTGTGATGTGACACATCATTTTTCCCAAAATAAACCCCCACGTACTCTTGAAGACTCTGTAGCTGAACTCTTTCATCAAGGTATCTACTAGTCCCATCTGGCTGTTGTTATAAAGGTATTGCATTCTTTTGAACAATTGATTTCATGTCCTTATTGACCCTTTGTATGTTGGAAGATGTACATGCTCAAATGCTTTGTCTTCGTGAGAAGGTGAAGGAAAGATTGAGCAACTCAGATGATTACCAGTCATTTTTGAAGTGCATTGCAGAGTATTGAACAAAGAGTATTACTCGGCCACAATTGCAATCAAGGGTAAAATTATATACACAATACACATTATTTAAAGATTTATTCTTTTTTGTTTCTAGTATCTGCTTCCTGCTTTATTGCTAGATATTTGCATTCGTTGTTTGTGTATCCATAAAACTTCTTGATGACTTTTTGTGTGGTATCCTTAGATTTAATTTTATAAATTAAAGAAATTTTTATTTTTTTTAGGTAAATAATTTGCTTTGAGTATATCCGGATATTGTGGAAGAAGTCAATGAGTTTATAGATCACATTGAAAAGACAAGTAATTGTACACATAAGTTCTTATTTACATTTACATGCCTAATAAGAATCTATAAATCTTCATCTAATAATGTATATATATGCAGATAGCTCTTCCCCATGAGTAAGTTTACATATAATTACATATATCCTAAACCCAATGACGATTTTACCTAAATGCCCCTCCATGTTATTTCCTCAGTAATTTAGGATGTTAAATTGTTTTTTTTTCATGACTCTATAGCATGACTTTGACTAGCCTTGGCAGGATCCTTATGGAGTCATGGACATTTACCTGGAGTAATACAGGGTAATAACGAGGGTAAAGATGGAAATTCTGATGAAGATGAAATTGAAAAGAATAGTTCGGCCATCAAGGAGAAGTATCAAGAAAAAATCAATTCAAGAACTTGAACTTTGTGACTGTGAATGTTTTTTCATATTTGACCATGTGCTCATTTTTAATCTCTCTTTCTCTCACTTTGTTGTAAACAGTTATTTTCTGCTTTTGGGTCTGTTTTAAAGATAGCAATGTTTGACAAAAATGGTGGAGTTCAAGCTCTAATTCAATACCCTGGTGAGAGTTAATTAATTTTTTGATAACAAGTGTTGAGAAGCTAATTATATATAATATACTTTTGTAAAATGTTAAAAAAAATTATAAATTTCAGATGTTCAGACAACTATTGTAGCCAAGGAAGCATTTGATGACAAGGGTTTTAAAAAATCAGCACAAATCTTGTTTACATAGATGCACACATTAGGTTATTAGAACTATTAATTTGTAAATTTCGTTACAACTTCTATTGATTTGTTTTATCTTTCCATGGAACGGTTATTTGTATGACATTAAATTTTATGTAATGGATTGTATTTTTTGTATATGATATTTTATTTTCTATTAAGAGACATTAAATGCAAATTTAATTTGAAAATTAGTAAATCTATAAATAATATTATTTTTAAACATTTAAAATTATGATACGCAAAAATGTGTGTCATCTTCATTTATGACATGGCCTTTCTTGACAGGGGCTTCCTTGATACGCATTGCGTGTCATTAACACGCACGTCGTAAGGTTACGATGCGCGAATGTGTGACGTCTTCCTTTATGACAAGGCCTTCCTTGATACGCATTATGTGTCGTAAACGCACGTTGTAAATGCGTGTCGTAAATGAGCGTAGTAAAAGCGCGTCGTCTTTCTTTATGACAGGGCCTTCCTTGACGCGCATTTGCGCGTCGTCTGAGCCTTTTACGATGCGCAATGAGCGTTGTAAAAGGCTGTTTTTCTAGTAGTGGGCCAGTCCTTGTTTAAATTGTTTTGAGAAACATGATCCACGTGGTTTTTAAAAATCGCATGGTTGATCTCTGTGGTTTCTTTTTGTTATGAATTTGATCTGAAATTACTATTATACCATTTTACAATTCAATTTTCCTTTTTTTATGTAGTTTTAATTAAAAAAAGAAAATAAATAAGTACCCAACCCCCAACTCCTCGTGTCTTCTCTTTCTCCCCTACCCTTTTCTCTATTTGTTCTTTTTCCCTCTTAACAATCTTTTTCAATGTTCAATCACTCTAGTGGCCACCTTCCTCTACCCTATCACTACATTAATTTCCATCACACGTTCCATGATTCAGTCAATAAACAAACAATCGGTGGAGATCTAAATCTAGTAACTAATGGTGGTCATCACCACCATCGTCTCAACAAACAACCATTGGAATCATGAATACTTGAGGATTAGAATAGGGGAACATAACCATGACATCCTAGATTCTTAGAGAATATAACATTGTTCCTTTATTAGATTCTAACACAAGAAAAGAAAACACTATAAGCAGGCAAAATCCCAATAAGGGCATTTGACACAATACATAAAAATGTATAGATTTCATAGTAACAAAACATAAAGGTCAAGAGGCCATATGATGAGCAATTATTCCACTGGACAGAAAAATAACAATATTTTCATATTAGCAGATCAAAATCGACAATCATGATATTTAAGGATCAAATGAAAAATATTATACTTATAAAAAAACAATAAAAACATAGACTATAATTATTAGACAAATAGGTCATGTCCTTTTGGAATGGTTCAAGTTGATCAACTTAAAAAACTTATAAAACTCAAGCATATATTAATTAGAATATGATGGTTCACCTGTAGTAATATCACCATCCCCTAGAAGGGATTCACACCCATCATCTTCAACAACGCTTATGTGATATCCCCTATTTTTCATAATAATAAAAAACTTTTCATTACACATTAAAATCATAGTATTTTTGTTTGTGGCCAATCCCAATATAATAAAACATTTTGCGGAAACTGTTTCGTTTTATTAAAAATATCTTTGAGTAAAGATGTTGTTTCAAAATACAAAAACTCAAAGTATATAACATTGTTACATCGTAAAGACCTAATGGTCCTAAACACTATTGCAGGTTGTCTCTTAATCACTAGGCATCCTAAAAAAGTTCCAACAGTTTTAACATTGTTACCTAAGATGCATTTAAATTGAGTGTAGGGGTGCAAACTAGCCGAAGCAAGCCCGAGCTTGGTCCGGCTCGGCTCGGGCTCGTTTAAATTGTATGAAGCTCGGCTCGATTAGAGCTTTCTTGTATTGAACTCGGCTCGAGCTAGTAAAGAATTATACAAGCTCGGCTCGGGCTCGGGCTCAAATTGTTTTTTATCTGACGTGTCTAAATAAGCTTAAGCTCGGCTCGATCTCGTTAAGAAGCTCGTTTACGAATATCCTAAATCCATAATTCCCCTATTATGTTTTTATTTTAATATATATAAATAATAATAAATTATATTATATAAAGGCTCGTTTAGGCTCGCGAGCCTAATCGAGCTTAATGACATATGCTCGAGTTTGAGCTCGTTTAATAAACAAGCTTAATATTAAGCTCAAGCTTGGATCGGGGTCGTTTAAAATCGGTTTCGAGTCGAGCTTTTAACGATCCGATCCCAAGTAGCTTGGATCGTTTGCACCATAATTGAGTGGGTCGGGTTGAAAAACCTGGTGAGACACATACGGTTTTCAATCCCATAATGTTATTGTGATAATAATATATAATTATCAGACTTGCAAAACCAATTATTACCAAACAATATAGATATATCGCATAACTTAGATATCTATACAACATTACACCCATACATACTCATACCAATCGATTCTCACAAATCCTAGCCCAGAATTATCAGGAGAAATCAACTTACGTGGTGAACCGCTTAGAGCAATGGTTTAGCTACACAAATAGGGGTTTCATTGGCTGATATAAGTCATAAAGACACTTAATCCATCAAAGTATTTAATGAATATGGTATCTCATTTATCTATGTCTGTGGGTAATTAGCTTACATTAGCAACATAATTACATGTAAACCGTACATCGATGAGTGTCATAGAATAGAGTTCTACTCTCTGTTTCTATTGCATACACCCTTAATATGAAGCTACCCAATATCCAAAATTAATTGAACTAAATATCCTTATAAGTCTTATTTTTTCGATAGACAAGACTCTGATACGTGTAAATAATTTCCAAAAACCTATTTCCTGTTTACATAATATTTATTTCAATACAGTGTATGATTACAAATTTAACCAACTTAATGAAATCTAAAGATCCTTTAAGCGTCTTAGTTTAGAACTTAGACGAGACTACAATCCTTGTAATCAAGTTTTAATATTAAGACTTGTTCAAATGACACTAATTGTAACTTAGTGTATATTCTTAATACAGAGTATCAAATATTTTAACATGCAGTAATCTTTTAAGTAATAAACTTAGTTTTAAGATTATCATGTAATAATATCATATAAATATTTTAACAAATAATTAACCATAACTGATCCACACAATGCATGTTATCAAATACACATTTAACAAATATTCCAAATAATAAACTTCAACTTTTGCACACACACACACACACACACACACACACACACACACATATATATATATATATATATATATATATATATATATATATATATATATAGACACACACACACACTTTCAATAAATATTTATACTTTTTAATAATTAAATCATGTTAATGAAAGTAACTATGCAATCATCTGATTTTGATAAAGTTTAATCTTTGTAATGTTTTTATCAGATTTATTAATAATACCAAATAGCACTGATGTATAGTTGATAAGAAACAACCAGGTAAGATCGTATTAGAGATAGGATCCGTTTGGTATATAAAAAAATAATGTTTGGAAAATCCACTTGAAACACCTCACTGATCTAGAATTGTCATCATTACCGTAAGTAGATCGGTTAGTATCATGAGTGGTATTACTGATAAATCTTACTTATAAATTCATAATAATGTTTACAAATTAAAATATGAGTTATAATTAAAGCATGATAAGCATAACTTAACTTACAGGTCGTTTGACGAAAAACCTGACATTACACAGGCAGAACTTCAAAACCAAAAACTCTATTTCTCAAGGCTCTCTGGCGCTTCATAGCTTCGCTACTAACACCTAAGAACTACTAAGATCGGGCCTCGGGAAAGTTTGAGAGAGTTTGGGAGAAGAATGAGCACCAAATGAATTAGAAAACTGCAATATATATATATATATATATATATATATATATATATATATATATATATATATATATATATATATATATATAAAGATTCAGTGAGGGGCCTTGCCTTATGAATTCCATAATCTAGGCT